CAGATGGCCTCTAACTTCTATCGCAAGTAAGAGAAGAATGAAAGAGAGACTTTTGAGTTGAAAATAAAACAAAACTACTGTAATGAAATATTAATAATAAAATAACAAAAAGAAATATTAATATTAATAAGAAAATTATGGAACTCCCAGGATGACAATCATGTCACTGGCTGGCACTGGGAAAGTCCCAGACTGGACTCAGAGACGGGAACTGGATTCTGGATCTAGATTCAGGAACAGACAGAGCAGGATCAAAGGCAGATAAACAGAGTCCTCCTCAGACACTGGCCATTGAAAAAGAGAGGGCTGACCCCTTTGATTCCTCAGCTTTTATATCGAGCATGATGCAGACAGGATGGAATATCCTGTTGATCAGGTTTGGGTCACCTGCCCTGCCCACTCCTCCCTGCAGGTGTGACCTCTCTACGTTTTTCTGCTTCTGACCCTCCAACAGGGCAAATAACAAAGTTAGCTAACCTTGGTTGTTATATCAATATATGTAGCAGTATAAGCAAGAGCCTCTCTGCATACCATTCCTTGGTATTCACTATAAATATCAGACCTTATCTGCTAGAAGCGGATACTGTCTGAAAAATACACTGTTAATTTCAGCAAGCTAGAAGAGGCTTAACTGAAAAGTAAAATTACTGAATATTGGTTCTGTTTTACCTCAAACCAGGACAAAAAGGATGTTAAATTCATGTATTTCCTCCTATTTGTATTTAGGAGGGGTTGCATTACTAAAGGTTTTACTGATTCTGTGGATCGTATTCATACGAAAGGTGTAAATTATGTATTTACATACTTATATTGACCTATATGAGTTTTCCAACCAGCTCTAAAACCTGACAAAAACTGTTGTGTTATTTACCTAAGTAACTCAAATTATTCATCTCTGTAAGTCACATCATTTGTACACCTAACATCTAGCATGTGTCAGAATTCTTATCAACTTGGTCTTATCTCTTGCTTGCTGCAGGTAACTGCTTTAGTCCACAATTTCTGCAGAAGGTGTCTCCCTTCTGGCTGATCAAGGCAGTGGCTTTCTACTGTTTCATTCCTTAAAATTAACAAATCCCTAACAGTAACAAAAATTCTTTCGTTAGGGTCTGAACTATCCTTGGTAATGTGTTTTGTTACAATTACCTTAATTTAAAACAGTTATTTTCATTTTGACAGTCCTGCATTTAAACTTCAGGCAGATGATCTTGCAGTGCTCTTGTCTATCACAATAAAATAGTTTTCCTTAAACTGACTTCGACAAATTTAAGTGCTTCAATAAGCAACATAGTGTAATATAGCCTTCTTGTAAACTTTGAAGCTTTTTTGTCTGAGCAATTCTTGGTGCATTTTTTTTTTTACTCTAGGGGGAAAAATTATTCTCTGCCATCAACTACGGATGGTGCTTGAGAGCTGGGCTAGTGTACAAGCCTCATCTATGCTCTGCTGCTCCTCAGGCAGCAAGCCACTATGCGTGGCAATCAGCCTCACAACCTGCGTGGACAGCAGAAGGCACAGCCCTTGGAAACCCCAGAATCCCAGCCGAACGGTGGTGGGTGCACTGGCTGCCCACCCTCCGCTGAGCACTGAGGCCACCAGCTTGCTCACCCTGGAAGAGCAACCATTAGGTAAGCTACAGGTCCCAGAAGCCTCCAAATGACTGACTGTGGTTCAAGCGTTGGTTTCTGGCCAACACGAGTCTTCAAGCTTGAATTGATTTGACAGCTACCATAACCACCTTCCTCGAGTATAACCACATGGTGACTCGCTTCCTTCAAGCTTCCCTCCATTGCTGACCAAACTGTGTTTTCATGCTGATCTTGACCTCTTTCATTCTTGCATGGTCCTAAACAAATAAGTGTCCCAAGGTCTGGTGCCAGATGTCTGTCAGTAATGACCCCACAATCCTCCTTTTGCATGACAGAGCTCAACCATGTTTGTATTCCTCTGGAAGGGGACAGCGGAGGTACAAGTTGCTTCCTCTTTCCAATGTGGTAGTCGGGCTTGGTGTGGTGTTGTTTACAGCACACTTTCACTTGGCCACTACTACTTTCCTCTGACACTCTGGGAACATTTGGATGCACAACTGATACGACTTTTGCCTCGTGTGTTTTGAGGTTGTTTGGGTTGGTTTTTTTTGTGTGTGGGGGTGGCTGTTGTTTGTTTGTCTGTTTGGTGTTTGTTTTTCTTGCAATAGCGAAGGTGAGGCACGTTAAAGGAACAGTTCACGTTAATCACTTGGAAAACAGCAGGCTGGAGTGGAAGGAGAAGGCCATCCCCCAGCCAGGGGACATGGTCTGACGGAGACAAGGGTCCTCCCCGCAGCAGCGCGCCCAGCCTTCCTGAAAGACGCCCCGCTGCCACTTGTAACCGCGTAGTTAAGACCGAGAATGGCGGTCGTGTTTGTCGCCGGGCTGCGAACACCCCAGAACTGACACAAAATCCCTCCGGCTGCGCACACCGGTACCGGGACGCCCCCCCCCCGCGTCCCGCCGC